TTTTTGGTTTTAATAAGTTCTAAGTTCTTTCTTTTTTTAAGTTACACAAAAAACCCTAATTTCCCGATTTGATAGACATCCTAGTTCTAATTTTCTTTATCGAAATTTCTCGAATGAAGCTTCTTTTTATTCACTTTTTTTTCTTTTATTCTTTTATTCTTTAACAGCGATATAATAAATATTGTTTTATTTATTTATAATATATTTATTTAATGAAAGAATCAACAAAAAAGAAAACTTCTTTTATTTTAATAATCAAATTTAAAAGAATATATAATGCCTCTCTTCCCTTTATTTAAAAAAGCCAATTCTATATAATTGATATAAAAATCAATCAAATTACTTGTCTTTAATAATTTTTTGACTAACCCATTGAATTACCTTTTTATTTTATTGTTTTGAATGTATTTTTTTTGTTGGTTTCTTTTCTTGTTTTTGTTTTGCTAATTTCCCCATATTTGCTTTAACTCTTTCTTTATAAACTCTTTTTCTTTCTTTTTTCATTTCTAATGCTTTAGTAATTCTTTCAGCTTTCTTTTGTTTGATTTTGTCATAATTTTTATAACATGGTTCAACTCTAATTTGTCTTCCTTTAATTTTTTCTCCAACCATATTAAGCCCTTTTTGTACGTCTTCCTTATTTGTAAATGTAACAAAACCAATACCTCTTCCCATACCGGATTTAGACTCTCTAACAATTTTAACACGTTCTATTTCTCCAGCTTTGCTAAAGAGTTTTCTTAATTGTTCTTCTTCCATTTTAAATGGTAAATTACCAACAAATATTGTTTGTCGAATATTTCTTTTCTTTCCTTTATTAACTTCCCAATCAGCTCTTAAATGATATCCTAAAAACTCTTTTCCATCAATTTCTTTAGCAGCTTTTTCTGCATCTTCTGAAGTAGCATAAACAGCATAACAATTTTGGGTTTTTCTTACTTTTGTATCATATTCTTTCTTTAAGAAATGGACTTTCTTTGATTTTTCATCCTGAATAAATGCACCACCACGAAATCTATATGACTCTAATTTACCAAACTGTTTTAAAAATTTTTTCATTTGGGCTGGTTTAACTTTAATATTAATATTTGCAATAAACACAGTTCTTTCTGCTTCTTTAGAGTGAGTTATTAAACTTAATTCTTTTCTTTCTTTTTTACTTTTATATTTTGGTTTTTCATCCTCCTCTGATGATTCTTCTTTATCACTTTCTTTTTGTGGAACACCTCCTAAAACAATATCTTTTGCATCAATATCTTCTTCTGATTTTGACTCTAATTCTTCCCCTTCATCTTCTTCATTACTTATATCTTCATCTTCTTCATTACTTTCATTATCATCATTTTCTTCCTCATTTTCATTATCGTCATCTTCTTCATTATCATCTTCATTACTTACACTATCATTACCTTCATCTTCACTAATTTCTTCATCCTCATTACTTATATCTTCATCTTCATTAATTCCTTCCTCTGTTGAAACCTCTTCTTTATCTATATTTTCATCTTCACTTTCTTCTTCCATTGGAATATCATTCATTTCTGTTTCTTTATCTTCGTCACTAATGTTTTCTTGATTGTTATTTGTATTTTTAACAACTGAAGAAAATGCAGTATTATCCCACAAAGACATAATAGACTGTTTTTCAGGATAGGGTTTTATATAATTTAGTTTATTATTATAAAAATTAGTTTAAATTAATAAAATCTATAAATTCACTTTGATGTTTTGGTCAGTAATGCAAGAATAATCTATTCTTTCATTTATCTAATTCTAAAACAACAACAATAAGATATAAAAAACTTTAAAGAGTTATTATAAAAACTCATCTACAGTAGATGAGAGAACTAAGTCTTTAGAACATTATGCATTTCTTTTCTCTCTTTTCTTTTTTATCCTTCTTTCCTTTTGAATCATTAGCCTCTGCAGTTGTAGCAGAAGGTTCTGTAGCTGCTCTATTTGCTTTGATATCTTTAACTAAAGCCTGGAAAGTTTCAGTAATATTAATTTTAGCTTTAGCGGAAGTTTCAAAGAATAACACTTTCCATTGTTCAGCTAAGTTTTTAGCTTCATTAGTTTGGACTTGTCTTTCACTTTCTAAATCACATTTATTTCCACAAAGAGCTATTGAAACATGTTCGGATACATCTTTATCAAGAACACGATATAATTGTTCTCTAAATCCATTGGCTTCTAAGAAAGATGTGGTTGATGTAATGGAATATACAATAACATATCCATCACCTGAACGCATGTATTGATCTCTTAAAGCAGAATATTCTTCTTGACCAGCAGTATCCAAAATATCAAGAGAAACCATTTCTCCATCAACAGAAATAGATGTCCTATAAGAGTCTTCAATAGTTGGATCATAAATTTGAACAAAATGTCCTGATACTAATTGAACAGTTATAGCAGATTTTCCAACAGCACCTCCTCCAAGCATAACTAATTTATATGTATTGGCAGTCATATTTATTTCTTTTCAAGTGAATTTTTTAGTTTTTATTAGATTCTTTTTATATATTTATTATATTTTTTTTCTTTTTTTTTTCTTCTTTTCCATTCTTATTAATTTTATTTATATTTTTTATTAATTCTTCTATTTCTTCCCTTTTTTTTAGTTCTTTGTATTTGCTTGCATATTCTTCTTTTTACTCCCTTCAATTCGGGCTTCTTACCTAATTAAAATTTAAAAAAAAACTTCACTTTTTAAAATTATAAATAGATTATTCTAAAAATACCAAAACAGTCTGCTCAGGCTGTTCTGTTTGAATGTATTGTATAACTCTGTTGGAAAAAGGTGAGGTTTGTTTTTGTCAAGTTTCAGATGAGTAGTTTTTTGTGAAGTGAGGTTAGTATACTTTGATTTTTATTTATAAGCTCATCAAGTTGATTTATATCTTCAATAATTCCTTTTAATTCTTTTTGATTAGAGGAATTACTTTGGAAAGATTGACAAAGTTGTACTGAGACTGGTGTCATTTCATTGGTTATATCAAATGTGAAAAATGGATTAATATTTGGGTTCATCTCTTTTTTAACTAATACAGAAGAAAAATCTCTAAAAAAAAGTATTAAATATTTGTTGGGGGTGATTAGATTCAATCTACTCAGAATATGAAAAGATTTTATCATAAAAATCTATGAACTAAATAAACCATAAAATATAAATTACTTCAACACAGCAAAGAGGTCTTGTTTATAGAATTGTTCATTTATGTTTTTAATTTCTTCTTTGATTGTCTTTTTATAATTGAGTCTAAATGTTGGAGAAAACATGGCAGTTCTTTCACCATTTATTAACTTTCTTAGTATAAAATCTCTGAAAATATCGTCATGGAAGTATGTTCCTGTTTCATTAAGATATGGAGGGAAAGAATTAATTTCAGCTTTTGCACAAACAGTAACTTTATAATGTATATTATCAATAGTTGGTTTATCAGGTGTTACAACAATAAAAATACTATTAAAATGACTTGTTAATATTCTTGGGTCAAATGTATCATTTTGATTACTTTGTTCTTTAAAAATTAATACAACAACATCATTACCCACATGTCGTTTTCTTTCAAGTCCTTGTCCATCATCTTGTAGTAATGGGATTAAAGGTGATACATGAAACATAATTTCAAAGTTATGAGTATGAGAAATATAACTATGAGTTCCTGTACTACCACTTTTGACATCTAACCCACCTCTATAACCAGTCCAACCATTTAATTCAATTTTATTACCAATTAAATCTAAAAATTTCCAGAAAGCAGGAGAACAATCCTTAGCACTAGTAGTAAAGATTTTATTTTCATCATTTTGGTTAGGTTTAACATAAATTACTCCAAATTTAAAATGAGTAATAATTGATTTATTTTCCATTTCAAATAAAGCATCATCAAGTTCAGGTGTATTATCTAAACAAATAACATTTTTTGGTTCATTAAAGAATTTGTCATAACATTGTGGTTTTTCAGATTCTTCTTTTCCAATGAGACAACGAATAACTCCTTTATTATTTCTTAATATACAACGAGACACTTCTTTAAATCTTTGAATAGAACATATAACATTTTCTTCTTTAGATAAATAATGTTTAACATTAGGATTTCTATAGAAAAATTCCTTATAAAAAGGAAATTCTGATTCAAAGTCAACAATTGTCATATTTTTTAATTCTGTTTTTTGTTCTATACTTGATTCATCACATTCAATACAATATCCATCTTTTTCAATGTCTAATGGAATTAAACATTTTCTTTTTTGTTTTGTTGAATAAGAGTCAATTGGCATTTTTAATGTACTCCAACAATCAATTTTAATTGTACCTTTATAAACAGGTTCTCCACACATAGCAAATACCAAATCCCTTTTAGTAATTTTAGCTTTATTCATTCTTTTATAACCTGTTAATGATTCACATAATAATACTGGTTCTGATGATTTTTCAAAACATTCTAAATTTTGTTTAAATAATTGAAGAACCATTAAATTTTCTTGTTCTTCTTTTGCTTTTTCTTCTGCTGTTTTTTCTTTTTCAAATGTTAAAGCCTCTCCTATTCCTTTAAAAACAGACCCAACAGATGCCTTTCTTTTCTTTTTTGGTTTTTCTGTTGGTGGACTAACAGTAGGAATTTTACTATCAGAACAAGTAAGTGGTGGTTCACTAGAAGTAGAATTTCTTTTCTTAGAGAATTTACTTTTGAACATAATATTTTATACTGACATATTTTAAGTTCTTCAAGTGAAATAAAAATATTCTCCAAAAGAATAATTCTTTTATGAAATTTTATTTAGTTTATTTTCTTCTTCTTTTTATTTCCAAAATACATAAAAAATAAAAATAAGATGTACTAAAAATATAATGAAAGATATACCAGGAATTTTAATATTATTTATTCTTTTAAAAAGGAGAATAATTCACTAAAACTTTTTTTATTAAAAATATTTATAGAATTTTTATTTAAAATAAAAAATAGAAAAATAGTATTAGTTAATTTGTTGCTCCGTTTTTACTTTTCTTTTCTTTTTTTTAAATTTAAAATGTAAGATAAAAAATTGATATAAATATATCATTTTAGATGAAGTGATTAGAAAATGGATCTTTTTCGCTTTTTATCAGACAAATTTGCTTTCTTTTCTTTCTTTTCACCTGACTTCTTTTTTTGGCTTTTCCTATCATTCTCTGATAAGTCTGTTCGTTCTAAATTAGTTCCAGAAGATTTCTGACTGTCTGATTCAATTTCCTTTTTTTCTGTTGTTTCATCTAATTTTAATACACGAGACTTTCTTTGTGAATCAGTTACAAAACCTTTATGGGCAAAACCTTCTATGTTATATTTTTTTAAAAGGTATTGATTTTTATCTCCAACGTTTGTCTTTTCTTCTGAACAGTCTTCACATGATCCAATCCTTTCAATATTTCCAAAAGCATTTCCTAATGAAATGAGATGTTGTATATCGTCCACTGAGTGTTTTTGTATATCTTCTATTTTACAAATACCTAATTTCTTTAAAAAGTTTTTATGTATCATTCCACATTTTAAACATAAGAAACATCCAAAATCCATATCAACACAATGTATTGGTGTAGTTCCACAATCAGCACATTTTTTATTATATTTATTTTGTATTAATCCATATACAATATCACATGAATTTAATTGGAGAGTAAATTTTTCTTCTTTAAATATTTCAAGACAGGTTTTATAAAAACTATGTTGTTTAATAAATGATTGTCTAATATAAAATACCCATAATAATGCTGCTGCTGTAGATGTAGTTTTAAATGTAATTTTTTCTTTATTATCATCACAATAATTAATTATAGAAAATGATGTTGGAGGTTCAAATATAACAGAAAGACATTGGGTTAAATAAAGTGAAATAGGGGAAGTTTTTTTATAAGCATCCATAACATTATTAAATAATGCCAAATATTTTCCAGTTAATATTAAATATTGATCATTATCTCCAACATCTCCTTGCCATACAAGTTGATTTAAATACTCTTTATCATTTATTGAAATATTTTGTTTGTATTGAGAAATTAATTCAGGATTTGAACAAGTAATTGTGACTAATGTTTGTTCTTGGGTTTGTGAAATTTGATTATCTAATTTAGCACACCAACTCATTTTTATATCTTTATTTGAACAAGAAAATCTTAGTGTCTCTCCTGAATCAATTACAAGACCAAAAGCTGGTGATCCTTCAATATCAACACAATCAACAACTGTAAACCGTTCAAAAGGAATAACTAATTCTACATTTAATTGTTTTTTAGATTCTAGAATAGGTTCTAATGTTTCAGGAATTAATTTTCCTTTATGTAAAGTACCAGTTGTTAATATTTTTGCAATGACTAAATTATCATTAAACAAAAAGACATTGACATTTCTGCTTTTGGCTTTTGGTTCAGCGTCACATAATGTTAATACTCCAAATTTTACAAATGTTGTAGATCCTTTTAATTCAATTGGATTAATACCTTGTGAATATTTAAATTTACTTAAAAGTTGAATAGTAATTTGTTGATTTTCCTTTTTTCTTTTATTTTCATTTACTATCATCCCAACTTCTGTTATTCTTTGTAATGAATCATACAGTTCTTTGTATTCATCGTGTTGTGGTGGTACTGTTTTAATAAGTTCTTTTAATAATAGTCCATATCTAGGAATACGTTGAATAGGAAGAATAACATAAGAATTAAATGATTCCATTTTACGAGTTGTTCTAATCTTATTAATAGTACTTTCAAATTGTTTATTTGATTTTCTTAATTTATTTTCATGTTCATTTATATCATCTGTACTATTAACATAACTACAATATGTTTTAAGAAAATGTGACAATTTCTGAAATACACTTCCAATGCCTTGTCCATAATAATATCCTTTCTTTTGAAGGTCAATTAAATTAGTATAAATTCTCTTATTATATCCTAATATAACTAATATATCTTCTTTACATTTTTTTAATAATTTATCATTTGGTAATAATTCTATGACTGCTTTTAAATAATAGTCGAGAAATTGTTGTAATCGACTAATATAAATTTGTTCGGTATCAATTAATTCTTTAACAATATTCTTTCTTTGAGCTAATAGTCTCATTGTTGAATGACTTGATACTCTACTTAAGTGTCCCATAACTCTTCTTTGAATCTCTTTTATAGCATTTATATCATATTCTTTTTCGTTCCATCGTTGTTCTTCATTTGTTTGTTTATTTTCTATTTCTTCTTGTTGTTGAATTGGTGTTTGTTCTTCTGTTGTTATTTTGTTTTCTTCTTCCTTTTGTTGAGTTGTTATTTGTTCTTCATTTGTTTGAATTGGTGTTTGTTCTTCTGTTTTTTGTTTATTTTCTATTTCTTCTTGTTGTTGAATTGGTGTTTGTTCTTCTGTTGATTTCATATTTTCTTGAATTACTCCAGGATCTTTTTGTGTTGTTATAGTTTCTTCATTTAGTTTTTCATTTTCTATTAGTTGTTGGGTTGATTCTTTCTGTTGATGTATTAAATCATTTACAGTCTCACTTTCAACAAGGTTATTATCTGTAAGAACATCTTTATTATAATCATCTATTTGATTTTCAAGTTGAGGTGTATTAGTTTGATTGGCATCTATTATAGGGACACTCTCACCCAATAAAGTATTTAATTTCTTAAATTCTGGAACGTCTTGAATTTGCATTTCTTCATGGACTTTTGATAATTTTTCTTTTTCCAGTTTATTTATTCTTTTTTCTTCTAAGTCTTTTGTAATCAATTCCATTTTATTTAAATTAGAAAATATTTGTGAGATAACAACATCAATTTGTATTTCATTTACAGGTAATTCATTTTGGAATATTTGATTATCTAAATTATCAGAAGAAGTTGATTTTACTTCAGAATGAGAAGGATTTAGTTCTTGAATAGATTCAACAGAATTATTATTAGTTTTAGTGTTGAGTTCTAGACTATTTTCAGTCTTAGATTCAAACACTGAATTGACACTTGGCTTATTTGAAATGAATTTTTTTTTCTTTTCAATTCTTGTGTTTGACTTCTTTGCAATAAAAAATACTAAACTTAAGAATTGTTGAATATTTCCTCGTGCTAATTCAGTTACATCAAACATAATATCACTCCCATAACAACTTTTAACAAGACTTAAAAGTATATTAAGGTTTTCTTGTATTTGAAATATTGTTTGTCCGTTTGGAAAATATCGTGGTGCTTTTTTTCCTGATAATTTTTCAACAATTTCTATTAATTTAGTTCCATCTTGAAGTTGTTCAACTTTTTGAATTGGATTTTCTTTGTCAAGATAAAGATTAACCCATTCAACACATTTATCTAATTCTTCTTGTAAGAAACTCATTCTGAAAAATTATATCTTTTTTATCTTTATTCTTTTGTTTTTTCTTTTTTTTTTGTTTAAATTCAACACTGATGAATCAGAAAAGTCTTTTTAAAATCAAATAATAAAAACTAGTTCTATTTATAGTATATAATTACTTTTTATTCTTTTTTTGAATCTTTTGTTCATATTTTTAGTGTAATGTTACAAAACAATCTTTTACAAATTTACTCATACTATCACAGAATATATTATTAAATTAATATAATTAATTTGTTAAAAATAAACTTATAAAAAAATATAGATCATCTAATAAACAATGAACTATTAATTTAATGTAAAGAAATGAAATGGATCTGAATATATATTATTCATTGTAACTATAATTGTAATTATGTATTAAAAGAATTTTATAATAAATACCATATTTATTTGAGGTATTAAAATTAATAAGTTAAATGAGTTATATTAATGAGTTTTTTTAAACTTTTTATATAAATATTATTTTCTTTAAGAAATGTTTTGAATAGATAAAATAAATAGCAAGAAAACTTTGATTTGATGTTCATTAAGTTATCATTCATTATTTAATTGTAATTAACCTTTTATTTTTGTTATTTATATCATTGTTATTTTGTATTAATTATAAATAACAAATATTTATGTTACTAAAATTCAATTTGAATTTATTCAGAATTTTTGATGTAAGGTTCAAGATGTTGTTGAATCTTCTTTAACATATCTTCATCAAATCCTAAATTCACAAATGCTTTCATTTGATTAAGGAATTTACCATTGTCTGCTTTAATTATTTTAACTTCAACAAGACCACTTGTATTTATTATTGTTAAGTAAACCATATTAAAATCACCCACTTTTAATCCTGGTGGCAGTCCTGTTATTACTGCACTTGTCACTAACTCCATACCTTCTTCATTTGTTTTTTTCCCTTCTCCTTTATAAATTGGTATAATAATTATTCGTTGATTATCATGGGCATTTGAATAACACCCTGCAAAAACAATTGGTAACTTTGTTCCTTTTGGTGCAAAAACATCATACTTATTATCAACTAATCCAAATCCAAGTGTATATGGCATTACCTGTGTTATATCAGCTTCTTTATTTATTGATAATTGATGTGCTCTACATGCAGCTCCTTTGACAACACTTGTGTATGTGTTAAAACTAGGTCCAACAACTTTATCTTTTCCAAATATTTTAGAAACTGTGTTTCTAACAAGTGGAATAGAACATGTTCCACCAATAGCTAGAACATAGTTCACGTCATTAATTTTCCAATTTGCACTATCCACAACACTTTTTACACATCGTTCAATCCTTTCAAGTAATTTATCTTTTTTACATTGTTCATTAAATTCATCAATAGTAATTTCTATATCACCAGTAAGTTCTTCACAAATTGAATATAATTCAATCGTTGAATAACTGGTATTTCCAGATAATGACTTCTTAATATCTTCTGCCATTATTCTAATTTTTTTCATCCTTTTTTCTTTCATCTTTTTAATTGATTTAGTATCAGAAGATTTTACATTAAACAACCTTTGAAAACTAATATCACCAATATGTTGTTTTATTTTATCAAGAATAACTTTAATGAGAGAATCATCAAAATTATTTCCACCTAAATTTAAATCACTTTCATTCCAAACACACTCTATTTTTGATTTATTGTTTGTTTTTTTAATTTCTAAGTTAATGGTTTGAGGAGTTATTGTTATTTCATCATCCCATTCTGGATATATATCCCACAAATCAATCTTAAATGACTGATTTTTTTCCAATGTTTTAAGACAATCTACAGCTATTTTTTCAATGTTCTGAGAAATTATTTCCTTCTTTCTTTTTATTTGACCGTTGTCTGTTCCTTTCTCTGGTTCAAGAAGAGTCAAAAAATCTTTTTGTGTTTTCAAGACTGTTTTGATTTTATTTAATATAAACTCTTTCACTTTCCCAATTTTATTATTTTCTTGTTGTTCTGAACTGTTGAAAATACAACAGGCAACATCTGTTGTTCCTCCTCCA